GGGAGAAAGATAGAGCTCGAAGAAATTCGAGACGACGAAGAAACTACCGCGCCGGTTCTGGAACATGAGCTAGAGGAACAAACTGTTGTACCTCAAAATGCTCAAGATACACAAGAACCCCGTAGGTCTAACCGGTTACGCACACAACCTGAAAGGTATGGATTCCTCCTAACCTTTGAGGGTGACGTAATGCTTATCGACCAGGATGAGCCGGAGACCTACCTCGAGGCAATCAGTTGTCCCGAGGCTGAGGAATGGCGTCAAGCCATGCAGTCCGAAATGGATTCCATGTACACCAACCAAGTATGGACTTTGGTTGATGCACCCGAAGGGATCAAACCCATTGGGTGCAAATGGGTCTTCAAAAAGAAGACTGACATGGATGGTAAGGTGCAAACCTTCAAGGCACGATTGGTAGCAAAAGGATATCGTCAAATACATGGTATCGACTATGACGAAACTTTTTCTCCAGTTGTCATGATTAAATCCATTCGGATCTTACTTGCTATCGCAGCATACCATGATTACGAAATCTGGCAGATGGACGTCAAAACGGCTTTCCTTAATGGAAACCTCCTTGAGGATGTCTTTATGACACAACCTGAAGGGTTTTGCGCTCCTGAAGAATCTACCAAGGTATGCAAGTTGCAGCGATCAATCTACGGATTGAAGCAAGCCTCACGGAGTTGGAACATCCGCTTTCACGAAACTGTCATCGGCTTTGGTTTTGAAAGAAATTCGGATGAATCTTGTGTATACAAGAAGGTCAGTGGGAGTGCTGTAGTCTTCCTTGCTCTGTATGTTGATGACATACTGCTCATAGGAAACGATATTCCTACTTTGACCACCGTCAAAACGTGGTTGAGTAAGAGTTTCTCTATGAAGGACTTGGGAGATGCCAGTTATGCACTTGGCATAAGGATCTATAGAGATAGATCACGGAAGCTGTTAGGTCTCAGTCAAAGTACATACATAGACAAGGTCCTTGCTAGATTCAGCATGTCTGAGTCAAAACGAGGAAGTTTGCCTATGGCCTAAGGCACGAGTCCTTCCAAGACTCAGGGTGCTTCCACTCCGGAGGAAGTAGAACGCATGAGAAATGTTCCTTATGCGTCGGCCATTGGATCCATCATGTATGCGATGGTATGTACGAGACCTGATGTCGCCTTTGCTCTGAGTGTCACGAGTAGATACCAGTCCAACCCTGGCGAAAGCCATTGGACGGCTGTGAAGAACATCCTTAAATACTTCCGCAGGACTAAGGATGCCATCCTGGTATATGGCGGAAAAGAAGAGCTCAGTATTGTTGGATATACTGATGCCAGCTTCCAAACTGATAGAGATGACTTCAAGTCGCACGCAGGGTATGTGTTTTGTTTGAATTGCGGAGCTGTTACCTGGAAGAGTTACAAGCAAGATACTACCGCTGATTCCACTACAGAAGCAGAGTACATGGCTGCAGCCGAGGCAGCCAAGGAAGGTGTGTGGCTCAAGAATTTTATTACTGAGCTTGGAGTGGTTCCTAGCATCAAGAACCCTATACCGTTGTTTTGCAACGACAATGGGGCAATTGCACAAGCGAAAGAACCTCGGTCTCACCAGTAGACCAAACACATCGTTAGACGTTATCACATCATACGAGAAATCGTTGCACGTGGGGACGTTGAGATTTGCAAGATAGGTACAGACGACAATATCGCGGATCCGTTGACGAAGGCTTTGGGAAAGCCTAAACACGAGAGTCATACGTGGTCCATGGGCATTCGAGAAATGCTTGATTGGCCTTAGGGCAAGTGGGAGATTGTTGTATTTAGGTGCCCTAGCGGCAATCAAATACCTATGTAACTGTACACTTTATCATGAATGAAAGGCCTTGAAGTATGTTTTATATCTCGTGTAACATAACATAGCTTCAGTCCATAGACGATAGCGCTTCAGTAACATA